ATGTTACGTCACGACTCACACCTCTTATTACTCTAATTTTACCCACAAACCCTTTAAAAGTAGAGTTTAAGCTAGGGCCTATTTATAAGTAATGAAGGGTAACTGTGGAAGCAAAATAAAACAACTTATCATGCGATCAAATGGCATAGGTACTGAATAGCCTTATCTTGCAATAATCAGTCCTGATAGGAATGTTTTTATTTCAAGACTTTTTTAACCACTAAACATATTTGTCCACGTCTTTAATCTCATCGTTCTTACAATCATATTTTCTTCCAGTTTTACAAAATTGTCGATAACAGGTAAGACGGAATCCCAAATTCCCTTGCTATTACACCAACCATTGTAAACTGCCATAATCACTCTTCTTTTTTGGTTGTACACTGTACGTCAATGTGTTACACTTAGGCACAACATTATGTCCAATGCACACAAAATAAACACTAATATTGCAAAGTAATTTGGTTATTATGCAATATAAATGATATAAAATGAGGTTTTAACTTATATCGTCAGAGATTACATATTAGACTTTGGTATATTTTATTATTTCTTGGATTCATTATACTGTGTAGAGAGTAATGAGGAAATTTTGTATTTTGAGGGTCAAAAACAGAAAAACCATTTTTACCCCATAAAACCCTGTTCCCATGGTCCGATCATGCTGGTTCGCAAACTCATTCAAGTTTATCCCGCCTCCACCTTTAAACCAAATTTCATAAAAATCAGACAACAATTACTCAAGTTATCATGTTTACGGACGTATATAACTTATATAACTTAGCCTATGTATATAAAATACCCCCGCCACAGCAAACCTGTCGACTAAGCGAATTTCCATTTGTCTGAATTGGTTTTTCAATTAAATCAATTTAAATATCTTAACATTAGGTTTAATGAGTACCCTAGGTTTGCTGCTATAAGGAAACTAATAAAATGTATTTTTAGTATAAAATATTAATAGCTTAGTATAATAATAAAATAAATAAATTCGCCAAGTTTGATCAAAATATATCCATAAACAAGCAAACTACAACATTTTACAATATTCTTCGTAAGAATAACATGGGAATTTTAAATTTACCGGTCAACAATTTTTTTAATTTTCTCCATTACCTACCAATAATAACCGTAGGCCTACAAAAACACTTTGATATACTAAATTATTTGTTTTTTAAGCTCTTTAAAAAGGTCTAGAGAGAGAAATTGGGAGATTTTGTGTTTTGAGGATCAAAAATGAGAAAACCAATTTAGAACTCCAAATAAAAACCCCGTAAAACCCCGTTCCCATGGTCCGATCATGCTGGTTCGCAAATTCATTCAAGTTTATCCCGCCTTACACATTCAAACCAAATTTCATCAGAATCGGACATAAATTACTCAAGTCATCACATTCACGGACGAATATATATATATAGGCTACTAGGAGTGTACCCGTCCTTCGTACAGGGTTGGCGTATAAGTATAAAATTAAATGCAGTTACACTCGTGCTTTGCGTTTGCAATGGGAGAGGACAAGGTTTATGAAAATTATGTTATGGTATGCTATTATAGTACAGCACATCTAACATTGCCATAATGTTCCAAACCACTGCACCTAAACAATAAAACAGTGAAATTCTCATTCTTTTTAGCTTTTTGTTGCTAGTTGATTCAAATTAGATGTTGTGATAAATGCAAAATAAACTAATAGTGCTGCACCCTGTTTTTAAACCGTATAACTTTTTAATGCCATTTAATATCACAGAACCAACTTGTGTCTAGTTGAAACAGCTGACAAAATTCTTTTTATTCCTTTTGAATATGAATACTTACTCATAAGGTCAACATGGGAAACTCCAGAGCCACTGGGGTGGAGCCTGAAAGGAGTTTAGAGATAACAATATGTCTAGATATGTTTATGCCTATATGTTAATCGGGAATGTGAACTATCATCACCCCAAATTTCAGCCCAATCCGACCAGTATTTCTCGCGTTTACTTGTCACAAACATACATAGGCCTACATCCATACATCCAAACATTCTCACTTATTAGTACCGGTAGGATAAATCGATATATATATATATATATATCCATATATAAAAAATTTGAAAGAATGATGTTTTTGGCCTCTGGGGACATCAAAATGAAAATGTAAATCGGTCTTACCGTGCCACCTGTGACGGTAATAGCTACTTCCCTAAGTATAGGGAAATTCGCTAAAATGTACTTTATACATAGGTTAAACATCAATATGTGATGTTCCTACATATCCTCACTAAGGGAAGGGAACTAGTAGCACTTAGCCTACTGTAGAATAGTATTACGGTAATGAAGAAAAGAACACGGCACTTGTCTCTTTGAACTAGCTTGTTTGAGTCGACTAGAGTTAGTTTGGGACCTTAATTTAGAAGCAAGGCTCACAGTTTAATACAGGAAAATTAATTATTCAGTCTACTTCCATTTTACAGTAAGTATTAGCCTACAGTATTACAGTTTGTACTTAGGATGAAAAAACTGCATTTTCTGAGTCAATGATCACCAGAGATCATAACTAAGTAACCTATTCAAAACTCTTGTTGGTCACAAAAAGTTTTAAACATTTTGATTAAACAAGGCTTGAAACAGGTGCAGTAAGCCTACCAGTAAACAATAATGTGTAGGCCTAGGCCTATAGTAAGGCCTAGAATTATTATTTTTTTTTTTTTAATAGAACACTGAAAACTATTATTTTTTGTACACTTTTATTTCAAACCTGTGTGAAAACTCCGGTGAAAGCATTACTTAGGCTTGCTATAAATAGGCTTTATGAGCATAAGCTTACAAGCATTATTCAGCATGTCTTAATTGCTTACCTAACAACATGTCTACTAATCCCAGCTTCCTTGCAAGCCTCATCCACGTCCATTACACAGAATTGTTGATCTTTTGTCATTAGAACACCATGCATCAACCGAGGTTTCTTGGAGTTAAGTGGCTGCAAACTGTATTTTGATGCTTCTTCTTTCAATAATGACAGCTTGACATCGGTTGTAAGCCTATAAGGAGTTTCAATTACACAAGTTTCACCATTGGCAGGCATAAAGCATTGGAGATCAAACTCTTGCTTGATTTTATCTTTTAAAAATGTCATCTTTGATGCTTCCCCATGAACCAACATAACATTTTTCGGTTCACAGTATTGGATAAGTTGCATAATCCCTTTGGCATCAGCATGGGCTGAGAAAGACATATACTCTACATCCATTTTGACCTCAACAATTTGTCGATTTTCAAACTCAATTTTTTTTGCTCCACTCAAAACTTTGTGACCCACAGTGCCTACAACGCAAAATCCAGGCATAATAACCATATTGTTTTCATTTGGAGCCCATTTTTTGAATATCGCAAGGGACAACCCTGCATGAAGCATTCCAGGAGAGGCAAAAACAACCATAGCTCCTGGATTGTCCATGTACTGTTTGTCAAATGGTTTTATATGTTTGAAATCAAACATATTTCTCTGAACAAAAGTTTTTCTTATCTTCTGGTTTGTCCAAGTAATAAACATCTTGTAGTAATTGTTGGCTTTTTCTGTAAGACCAGCAGCAAAGAAAATTGGTATCTTCAGATTCATTCTTTCCCAATATGTTTCCAGCAATATGCAAAGTTCTTGAGCTCTACCTAAAGCAAATACTGGAATCAACACTTTTCCCCCTCTGTCTACACATTCATGAACCTTTTTCAGGAAATCACGCTCACGACAACGTTTTGAATCTCTTATGGTAGTAGCATATGTAGACTCAGTTATCAGAAGGTTTGGTCTACATTTGTCTATCCAAGCAGCTCCTAAATGTCTATCAGGGGTCATGTTATAATCACCAGTGTACACAACGGATTGAGTTCCAGACTTAATCCAAAACATTGCTGCTCCAAGGACATGTCCAGCATAGTAAGCTTTTATTTCTAAGTCTGGATCTACCATTACAGACTGGTGTAAAGTAACAGCTATCACTTTTTTCATACAATCTTTAATCATTTGAGAAGTAAAAAAATTACTCTCACCCTTCTTTTCAACCGCTACTTTTCTCATATCTTCAAGCAAGATTGGAGCTATTGCTTTTGTAGGATGTGTCATGTAAATTGGACCACTGTAACCAACCATTTCAGTCATATATGGCAAAGCCCCACAGTGATCAAGGTGAAAATGTGATATTATAACACAGTCTATAAATGAAGTTAGAGAACCTTCATTTGTAATAAAACTAAAATCAGGAAATCTTCTTTCATCATTGAAACCCATATGCATACCACAATCCAGCATTATGTTTTTCTCATTGATTTGCAGCAAGATGCAACTTCGACCAACATCTTGGCCAGCACCGAGAGGAGTGACTTTGAGTTCAGGCATGGCTATTTATCACTAGATTAAATCATGAATCTATTGATCACTAGAGAAATAAAAAATCAATATAGGCTTTATAATTAAGTGTATAGATCATCTCTCGATTTAAAATGTATGGTTGTAAATTTCCTGATCACAACACATTCTGTAACTTACCGTAAGTTACTTAAGCCTAAACACATTGATAAACCTTATTATTAATCAACAGCCATAAAATTATAATTCAAAATTTTAGTTTTTATAGATACAATGGCTGTAGTTCACTTAGCATTTTGGAATAAAATAACTTAATTAAGATAAAACAACTTAAAATAACCTCGCTTTTTGTTCACACGACGTACGAACTCAGTACACAGTACGATGCATGCACGAAGTACGGCACGGGGACGGGGGAACTCGACGTTCTGTACCCACGAGCACCTCAGCTTCCACATGCACAGGATAACAGCTATTTGTGTAATAGCTTCACTGTATATCTTTAATTGGACCTGTTTAGTAGTTGTTTCGTGTCAACGTCAACAGTTGCAGTTGCGAACTGTGCATTGTGATTTTAAGGTGTTTATTCTTTACTGTTTGTTTATTTTTGACTTGAGCTGCTTGAAAAGGTGTTTTATGATTATGAAAATTAAAGTGTTGTGAGTGAGCTGAAGCTGATTATTTGTTATTAGGTATTAACAATTAAATATTTTGCGTGCATGAATTATTTATGAAGTTTTAAATGTTCACTTAACCTATCGTTTTCGGATTCCTCAATAAAGAGTGATTTGCTAATGTTAGGTTGAGTTGCGTTTGTGTGTGAATTTGTTAGATTGGAGTTTTGGTATTGGTAGTGGTAGGTCTAGGTTTATTTTGATTAAGTTAGTTGGGCCTTTCAGTGGAGTTTAGGTCTAAGTTATTGCCATTGAAAAAGTTAAATTAATAACTTATCTATTAATAAGAGTATGCCTAAGTTAAGTTTACCTTAGAGGCTAACTTAGACCTACCACTACCAAAACTGCAATCTAACAAATTCACACACAAACAAACACCTAACCTAACCTAACAATCACTCACTTGAGTAATCCGAAAAATATAGGTTAAGTAAACATTTAAATCTTCATAATTAATTCATGCACGCAAAAAATTTAGGCTAATTGACAATACCTAATAACAAATCAGCTTCAGCACACTCACAAAACGTTAATTTTCATAATCATATAACACCTTTTCAAGCAGCTCAAGTCAAAAGTGAACAAACAGTAAAGATGAAAGAATAAACAAACACCTTTTCAAAATCACAATGCACAGTTCGCAACTGTAACTGTTGAAAAAAAAACAACTATCTAAACAGAAACAGGTCCAATAAAGATATACGGTGAAGCTATTACACAAATACCTGTTATCCCAGGAACTGTTCGAAGGCCTTCTGTGCTTGTGGAAGCTGAGGTGCTCGTGGGTACAGAACGTCGAGTGACGGGGGACGGGGCACGACGTACGACAGACGACACACTCACTCAGACACTCACTGTTTACACTCTCACTGTCACTCACTTCACCCAGTCACCCACCACACCACAGTACTATCTCAGTTTCCCCACCCGCAAACTCATGAGAACCTTTTCTGCTAAAGAGTGGGGATTGTGGGAGAGCCCCTCGCGTCGATTTAAGAAAATCTGTAAATTTATTTTATAATATTTTAGTTAGAAAATTAGCTTTTTAACTATAAAATTAATTTTAAAATATTTAATTATAAAATTAAACTGTCATAACCTTACCTAACCAACCAAACTTCCTGATAATATAAAAAGATATAAAATAAAAATCTAATGAAGGTTTACTTATGATAAACTTTTAATTATAAAATTAATTTTAAAATTTGTTATTATAATAAATCTATATACAGGGTGTTTTTTTAAAAACTTGCATCTTTATTTATGTGAAAACCGCAATAGATAGGAATATGCAGTTTGTGGGAATCATCTATTGAAGTAGGGGGCCAAATTGTTTTGAATTCAACATTACATTCACATTCCCCCCCTTTCCCCCCCTGCCCCCCACTTATTTTTTTTAAATAGCAAGGTACCCCTTGTGACATATCAAATGAAAGAGCATGAAAAAAGAAAATGTTTGATGAAAAAAAATTCAAAATCGGTTAATAAATTTGCGAGATATTTCCCCCCCCCTTCCCGGGAACTTGATTTTTTTTAATAGCAAAGTACCCCTTGTGACATATCAAATAAAAGAGCATGAAAAAAGAAAATTTTTGGTGGAAAAAAATTTAAAATGGGCTCATGAATTTGTGAGATAATCCCCCCCTTTTTCCCCTACCCATAACTTGTTTTTTTAATAGCAAGGTACCCGCCCTTGTGACATATCATATGACAAATAAATTTCACCAAAAATTTTCTTTTTTCATGCTCTTTCATTTGATATGTCACAAGGGGTACTTTGCTATAAAAAAAAATCAAGTTCCGGGGAAGGGGGGGGGAAATATCTCGCAAATTTATGAACCGATTTTTAATTTTTTTTCATCAAACATTTTCTTTTTTTATGCTCTTTCATTTGATATGTCACGAGCGGTACCTTGCTATTTAAAAAAAATAAGTTGTGGGCAGGGGGGGAAAGGGGGGGAATGTGATTGTAACGTTGAATTCAAAACAATTGGGCCCCCTACGTCAATAGATGATTCCCGCAAACTGCATATTTCTATATATTGCGGTTTTTACATAAATAAAGATGCAAGTTTTTAAAAAAACACCCTGTATAATACGCTAAGCCGATTTTTGTGAACAGAACTCCTCCAACATTTTGGGGCCGATTTTGATGATTAAAGTGTCTAAAGAATAGCCCTGATCTGTAGTATTGCAAAGTGTTTTTATTTTTTTGTAATGTTTATTAGTTCGGGCTGGATCTTCCATCAAAGTTGGGTTTTCTCACTTAAGATTAACATGGAGGAATCTAGAAATTTAATTGGAAACTTTGTCTCCACTAATTTAGGAGAACGACTGGGCGTAGAAACTTGGTAGAGGTGTCCAAAGAAAGGTCTTGGTATGTAGAGGAGTTATCAAAAGAAAGAAGGAGTAAATTCCCTTAGGGCTCTGCCCCAGAAGCCTTTAAAAGATCCCTCCACAGATTTGTTTACATTTTGGCCATGTGGATAATACTTTTTAATGAAACAGCTGTTAATTTTTAAATCTATATACTTATTTAATACGCAAGCAGGTTTTTTGTGACAATTACTCCTCCGAAACTACTGAACCGAATGACATGTTTTTGGTGTCATTGGAAAGAGAGTAACGTGAAGTTGTGCAGGAAACTTTCTTTTTAGGGAAATAATGAGAGAGTGAGGCCATGGAGCCCTTTAAAGTTTTGTATTTCTCCATAAGATTAACATTGGAAACAAAAATTGTTATGAAACTCCAGCTGTTGTCAGAAATCAAAAGTGAGAAGAAGAGCATATGTTAATTGTAAACAGTCAATAAGTTTGCTAATTTAACAGTTTGCTACAAACTTGCTGACTTGGTTGAAATTTGTTTTAAAATAACGCCTGTAATACTTAGCAATTGCTCGAATTCGAGCAACAGGGACACTAGTTGTATTTCAAACAACACACATTTATTGAGAGTTACTGAATTGTCCAAAGGAAGTATTTGCAATGTTATTTTCTTGAACTCTTAGAGAGCCTTTGAATGTTATTAGACCAACGAAAAAGGGTTGTGCATGTTTACTAGCCCTTCTCAACAACAAAATAATCCAAAGAATTAATTAATCCAAGAATTTAATCTGTGAGGATCATTTCCCAAAATTTCATTACTTTTAAAATGTTTTTTATTATTATTTATTAGTTTCATTAACTAATCGAACAGGGTTTTAATATTAATTTTGAGATTCGAGTGTCAGGATTCGATCTTTGAAGCCAACTGTTGGTTAATATGATCAAAATAAAACAGCGAATTCTGTTTACTTAGTTGAGATTACAAAATAAATAAATAAAGATAGGCTACTAAATAATGAAATGTTTACAATTAATTAAAAACAGAAATAAGAAATTCAATCATTTAATTTCTAAAATTCCGGGGGGTAAAATTCCGGGGGTAAAATTCCGGGGGGTAAAATTCCGGCCCGTACATCTTCAGTTGCCTAAACGCTAGTTATATGGACAGGGGGTAAAATTCCGGTTTTTATCGCTAATCTAATTAATCACGCTCTGACTATTTTCATTAGACTTCCAAATCCGCGGGGGTAAAATTCCGGCCGCGAACAAACTATTGGCCCCTCAAGTTACTACGTCATAGTGACGTCAGCTTTGCCCAGGGGGTAAAATTCCAGGGGGATAAAATTCCGGCGACCCGCTGTGGCGGCTGCTCACGTGGACTACTTCAGCTCCTGTTTTTAAAAGATGTGCCGATGTGCCAGTGCCTTTTCAAGCTAGTAGCTGCCTTAAGGTTTGTTGTTATGTTTTTGCACTTTATATTCTACATGTTGTTGTTATTTATACGCCATATTATTTGCTGGTTAGGTCTTTTGCATGTTATGCCTGCTTTTAACTTTCATTCTTATTTATTGCACGTATGAAACATAAATTTAATCAAATATTAAAAATAAAACATGCAGAATTGAAAACCGAAACAATATGAATTAAAATCTATATCTGTACATTTTTAAGCGGAGTCAATATTGTCATAGTCTAGTAACCAATCTTTCGTAAATACACAATTACCATTAGCTGCTTCCAAACAAAAACAGCTGTTACAACACCACTTGCGACGTTGCCAGTTCGATGGCCGCGGCCTGTAGTTAAAGGCGGCCGTGGCTGATGACACCTGTTTGCCATGTTATCTTATGGGACATCTGTCAATAAACAACACCACTTGCGACGTTGCCAATTCTACCAGGCCGTTGCCTGTAGTTAAAGGTGGCCGTGCCTAACCTCTAATCACAAACAAAGCAATAACAATATGGAGTTGACCACGGCCGCCTTTGGGCGGCCGTGGTTAAGGGCGGCCGTGCGTCGATTCAAATAGAGCAATTTTTGCCGTGAGATGAAGAAGAAGAAGCAGTCAACCGTTCACTCGTTCACTGTCCGTACCACTGAGCTATAACATTATAACTGGAGTAACCACTCTGTGTTCAAAAAACGTACCACTGTTTTTGCTGGTTTTGTTTTACGCCTCTTTCACACGACGCGGCGCGCGCCGTGCGGCGCCCGCCGGATCCGGCGTAGGGCTATGGGAGTATATGAGTCCTTTCACACTATGTCCGGCGCGCGCCGCGCGGCGAATTCGCCGCACGGCGCGCGAGTTACCGCCGGATGCACCTTGAGCCGGACGACAGCGACGCGCGGCGTCCACGCCGGACAACTCGGTGAAGGTGCATTGGTTCTTATGGGAGCTTTCACACGGTGCGGCGCGCGCCGCACGGCCCAGCACCTACGCTGCCTCATTTTAGGCAAACTACCTGACCAAGAGGGTGCAACAGTTAATTAAGAAATTATATATCGTTGTATCTGAAAATAATATATTTAAAGTTATTACAAAACATACATTTTTATGTTAATCCCATGCAAATCGACCAACTTAAAGTATTAAAACAAAAATTTTCCTTTAATAACTAGAGGAGAATATTTAGTATTAAATTAATAATTTAGTAATTTATACGTAATGAAACATTTTTTTAACTTCTAGAATACAATATTTTCAGATATGACGAATACTTATATATAATACGTGAAGGTGATTTCTACGAAATACTACTCCTCCGTTAATAATGAACCGATTTTTACAAACGATGTGTCAAAATTAAGTATTTGTTGTGTACACGCCCCCTTTCACCAATTCCTGTAGTTAAAGTCCTCGGGCTTTGCCCCTCAGGCCATCAAAATCCCAATGTATATCTTATGAAGACAAGATTTTGTTTAGTTAAACGGACGAATAATTTGTACTAATTACAACTGTTCATAGTACACACATGATACACACGAGTTTTCGTTTTCAGTTTCGATAGATGGAGTGGAGTGAGCGTTCGTTTTCAGAGTGAGTTCGTTTCCAGTTTCGATAACTGGAGTGGAGTGATTGGTTACATTATCTTTGAGTTGACTCTCACACGTCAACGGAAATAGTGACAGTTATTCGTAAAAAAACTCCTTTAATATTTTGCAATTGCCCAAATTCGAGCAACAGGTGCACTAGTTTATTATATTTAAAATTATCCTATTCATTTAATTTGAACTTTTAAGTGGAGTATTCATTTAAAAGCCACAACTGAACAAAAAATAATAAATATTTAGGAGTGCCGGACGGTGCGCGCCGCACGAAACCGTACTAGTGTGAAGACACACGCTTGTCCGGCGGCGCGCGCCGCTTCGTGTTAAAGAGGCGTTAGAGTTTCGTTTTGTTAGGTTGGCCGGGTGATCGGGTTGGTGGGACTTGTCAAATTACAGGTAAAATCAAGATGGCGTCATCCTGTTTTGTTGATATGTGGTAAACAAAAATCTCTGCCAACTCAACATTATGATTGCAATATAAGTTTATTTATTTATTTTACGAACAAGAGCAACCCATTTAAACCGATGGTCGTTATTTAATCAAATGCCATAGGCCTATTGGCCTAAACCAATATCTCCAAACCAGGAAACTTGACTAGCCTATATTTACCACATAGTTTGAAAAGAGGTAAATAAGTTGGTATTTATTTACTATCAAACAAAAACCATTTATAATATAACTTTAAATACAGAGGTTTTAACGTGCAATAACTTAAATTAGTTTTTGATACAAGTCCTTGAAATAACGGATAACATAACCCCAAATGAATAGTATGGTTAGGTTAGAATGAATTGGAATTATTTGACAGCATCCCACCAACCGATCACACGGCCAACATAACAACACGAAACACCAATACCCCCGCCGCAGCTAACCTGCTGTCTAAGCGAATTTCCAATTGGCTGAATTGCTTTTCAATTGATCTATTTAAATAAAATTAGGTTTAACGAGTACCTAGGTTTGCTGCTACATGGAAACTAATAAAGTGTATGTTTTAAGTAAAATAATAATGGCTTAGTATAAAATGAATATATTTGCCAAGTTTGATCAAAATATATCAATAAACAAGCAAACTACAACATTTTACAATATTCTCCATAAGAATAACATGGGGATTTTAAATTTACAATTTTTTTAGTTTTCTCCATAACCAATAACCGTACAAAAACACTTTGATATACTGAATTGTTTGTTTTTTTAAGCTCGTTAAGAATGTTTAGAGAAAAATTGGGAAATTTTGTGTTTTGAGGGTCAAAAGTGAGAAAACCCAATTTTTACCCCATAAAACCCCCCATAAAACCCTGTTCCCATGGTCCGATCATGCTGGATCGCGATCTCATTCAAGTTTATCCCGCCTTACACCTTCAAACCAAATTTCATCAAAATCGGATAGAAATTACTCAAGTTATCGTGTTCACGGACACACATATATATATATAAATCTATATATATATATATATATCTATATATATATATATATATATATATATATATATATATATATACATATATAAAAATTTGAACGAATGGTGTTTTTGGCCTCTGGGGACATCGAAATGGAAAAGTAAATCGGTCCCGGGCCTAAGTCTTACCATGAGACCTACGGTAATAGCTACTTCCCTATAGGGAAATTCGCTAAAAACAAACCAGCCAAAACAGTGGTACGTTTTTCTCTAACGTTTAACCAGAGAGTAGTGACTCCAGTTATAATCTATATCTCAATGGTCCGTACAGTGTCCAGTTTCCACTCAACATCTCAAAAGGACGATCGTGTCAATAGGTTGGATAGGATAAGTCAACTGTCAAACTGTCAAAAATACGAAACGATTGGACTTGCTAAAAAGTGTCAGCTGTCACTTGTCAGATCCTCCAGATGTTTGTTTGAGTCTGGTCCTCGGTGTCATGTTGTGTCTGTGAAGTTGAAGTTAAGTGTATCGCATCGCAGTTAGTTAGTGGCAATTAATTTTGTTATTTTAGCCTATTTGAAGTTTTCAACAACACTACACCACGATTTCGTTGATTTCATCACAACAAACCCTAAATAGGCCTAGGAATAGTTGTTGTGAAAAATCATTTTTACACATTTTAGTGAATTTACAATGAAACTGGTATTTTGAACTCTTCACAAGAGAGATTAAGTTATGTGGTCCTTTTTCTCAAGGGATGTTTCTAAAGATTTTCAATATGAAATTTTAGACAAATGTGTAAGTTTGAGTGATGATGTAATTTGGACTTTGCATAAGGCTAAAAAGAAGGTTTGTAAATTTTACAATTTGAACATGCTAATAAGTTAGTTTTTATTAGGCCTATGTTTTTGAAGAGTAGCCTATCTTAATTGAAATTTAGTAAACAGTAGGGATGAGGATCGATTAGGTCAACCATCGATCTTCACTATCGATGTAGCCTACCGATAACATTGATGTTTTTTCATTTTTTAATCCGCTTTTTGTTATTTTTGTTACTTTCCAGTTATGAAAAAAATTGATATCTCAATACTTGGCCAAAAACATGTAACTTTAAATAAAATGTCGGTAATCTAGGCCTAAGTACCGTCGATGTAAAAAACATCGATTATCGACAGAATAACATTGAAGTTGGTTTCGAAAACTATCTCTCGGCTCATCCCTAGTAGGTTAGACAGTAAGCTGTTGTGTTAAATTTTAGGATTAGGCAAGGCCTAGACGGCAGTTACAGTTTCCCAGAAAACCTATGATAGACCTACTGTAGGCTACATAAAAATTGCATGAAATGTCCATGTTAATGTAGGCCTAATGCAGCTTGGCCTAGACTTTTTTTTTACTTGTTTGTCAATCTCTAACTCGCTACCAGATCAAGTGAAATCTCTTCCAGATTTAAAATTATCCTGAAGAAGTGGATATTTTAATCAAACTTAGCAAATTTATTTATTTTATACCTAACTATAATTAATATTTTACTAAAAAAACACACTTCATTACCCTCCCTGTAGCAGCAAACATACTTATGTACTCATCAAACCTTATTAAAATAGATTTAGGCCTAATTGAAAATCAAATCAGGCAAATGGAAATTCGCTTAGTCAGCAGGTTTGCTGCAGCGGGGGTATTATTTATATCATATGGTATTAAATTCAATACAATATTAATATAAAACCAAATAAATATTGATATATTTATCATTATTCATCCGATAATATATCGCAGGCTCTCTGCGGAACTGTAGGCCTACCCTTCTCTTCCCGTGGCGAGGCACAGGCATAGCAACTAATAGGCCTAATCTTAAATCCAACCAATTTCTTAATTAATAGGCTTTAGAAATTGTACCCAAACCACCTAAGTTATATGTGTTCCAGTAGCTGTTTAGACGAACGTCACCTTTGAGCCAATGTTATTTGTACTGGGTATGGATTTAAGAGGATTTTTTATTTTACTTACACAGCCTTTTTCAATACAGTAGACTCCCTCTCAACCGGACTCCTCTGGACCGAGGCCAGTCGGGATAACGGATTTTACGGTTAAACCGACGTCCCCAAAATCTTGTTAAAACGGACCGTTTAAATGCATACTCTATACAGTATTTGACTTAAAATTAGGAGAGCATTGTATTTAGACACGTAATCAATGGTCTCAAATCTTTCCCACGAGAACAGTCGTTTCAGTACCGCCCACTTCCTGCCAATCTAGTCCAGTTAAACCGATGTGCTGATAAAAATTATCCGGATAAAGAGATGTCACTTCTACAGAGTGTAGTCCGGTCAAACCGATGTCCGGATAAAAGGTGTCCGGATAAGAGGGAGTTAACTGTATCCTAGATAAGTTATTCATTTTTTTTACTAGGCCTACAGAAATTAACTTAGTTTTAACTAATAGCTGGTTGAATATAAAAATACTAGGTGAACCCCGTCGAAATCGACGGTTACTTTCAAGGCTTACGTTAATTCATCTAACTGCGATAAATTGGGTGAAATATACATATTTTGAGCATATAGCAATAAGTGTAAAACAATAATGATATTAATTGCATTAGTTGCCAAATTTGGTTGATTCAATGAATAAAATATTCCCCGTACCGTACATCATCGGAGTTATTGTTAGTCTATCTGGTATCTCTTCCTTTGGAAGAACCTTTAAATAGTATTAAAATCGTATTTTGGTGGATCTTTCGTAGTTAAACACTTCCGTGATTTCATCAGTGTAAACTAATATAATTTTATTTCAAGAGAATATTATATTTTTGGGAAGACATATTCTAACTTCAATGGGAGGTATAGCCTATCCTTTACAGTGTAAGTTAGATTTTTCTTTCGTCACGTCGCGTCAGTTCTGTGCTAATGAATGAACCCTCTAGCATAGTTCTGAGAAATTGGTTGCGTGGGGTTACTGTTAAAGCTGTAATTCCTTGACAGTCAGTGGTGTCAGTTAGTTGTCTCAGCCTTATCAAATACCTGAGGTGAAGTTGGATTTTATTTTTGAACTGTTAGGGGCCTCTTAGTTTATACGGCCTTGCGGCTTCATTGGCAACAAATAATACAAATTACATAGTAATAGGACATTTCCAAAAAGCAAAAATACTGTAAATTGGCTGTTACGTAAATATTGACGTTTACATGCATTGTTAATCAACGTATCTTATAAAGGATTATGTGATCTAGTATAAAGGAATATGACCTTTCTGTCATGACAGTCTCTTTGTACCATATTTTACAGACAAAATGTTGTGTTATTTTCAATAATGTTACCGACCCAGTGTGCCAAAGTCCGTAATATAGGCAGGTGCAAATAATTTGTCAAGATGGGTTCCATTTTAGGCAAAGTCTCTAGGCCTATGTTTGGATTTTATTAGACACGATATAAGAGCAGATATTTCTAGTACATAAATATTTGATATGTTAAAATGTAGGCAAAAGTGGTGAAAAAGGCAGACACCAACCCGTACAATAGATATAAGATACAGTAGTTCAATAAGGAATGATTTAAGAATTACTGTGATAAATGGATTTTCCACTGATTTCGTTATGGAACGTTAGGCCTATATTGCAAAACATGACATGATAAAGAAGAAAATCAATTTTAAAATCAGAAAATAACATTGCAAATACTTAAGCCCCCTTCACACTGGGCCACCATGGTGGTGACACCGGTGGCGACACCGCTACGTTACATTAGCTACGTTACACGTTACGTTGGCTACGTTACATTAGCATTGATTTAAATGGGACATCTTCACACTGAGCTTTGGTGGCGCGTCTGGCTGCGCGACCAGAAATGCGGTGGCTCGGGGTTGCGATTTTCAGAGACACCAGTCTGGTGGCGCCACCACGTCGTACCATGGTTTCTTATCGGACTGTTCACATTGGAGCGACTGGCAGCGCCACCAGTCACTACCAGCGGGCAATACTCAGTATACTAGTTTACTAATCTTTTGAAGTTGTTAAGGTAACAAATATGGGGAAACGATTTTATTGATATAACAAAATGTATAGGTACTCTATTTCATTTACATCTTTTCGTCATTGCAATATATACATTGAGTCAAGGTATTACAGTGTTATTAATAAATGGTATATTAACTATGTTTTTATTTATTTTTCCACAACGTTAGTAGCAGTTTCTCTTCTGGAGATATTTTATCTTTCAGACTTCCCAGAAGCTCATCAAAACTTAAAACACTCATTCTTAAGTAAGTAGTAATTGTGAAACGTGTCAGTGTTATTTCTAAGGTCTTGGTAGTGAATGAAAAAAGTCTCTCAGGTACTTATATCTCATAAAAACGGATGAACAAAAAAATAAGTTTTTTCTTATGTTTTCACAATTTCAAAAAATATATATACCTATACTACGCTAAGCACCTGCCTCTTCGACGTCCAACTGTGAGCTTTGTGGCTGCAGCTGCACTGGTGGCTGAGCTGGTGGTCCATGCGCATTTTGACCGGCCACCAGTGTCGCCACCATGGTGGCCCAGTGTGAAGAGGCCCTTATTTGGTAGAATTCAGTAACTCTCAATAAATGTGTGTAGTCAGGTTGGGTAGCAGGAAAATATTTCAGTTCTGGCGGAGAGGCTGCAATTTTAGGTGGTTATAGTATACAAGTTTCTGAACCTAAAAACGCCCAGACCCCAATTTTTAAGGACCTTGGTCGTCCGTAATGACGTCATCAAAATGGCGGCCGTAAGAGGATGCTGGGTCCCCATGAGTTGGCTATAACGACCGAATGCCTGAACCGATTTTCATGAAATTTGGCACACAAGTGCTTGAATACATTATCTCGGCCTGGGTTGAAAATGGTCAAGTTTCATTTCAAAATGGCGTCCGTTAAAACCTAAAATAAAAAAAATCATTCAGTGTTTTGTGTTCTCAACTCCCTCCAGAGATCTGCAGCAACCTATTCACTTTCCTTGCAATCAAAGGTTGCATTACCGTCCCTGCATTTCATGGAATAGGCAAAACACCCCCATCACAGCCAGCCTGCAGATTAAGTGAGTTTCCATTTCCCTGATTTGATTTTCAATTAAATCAATTTCAATAACATTAGGTTTCATGAGTACCTAGGTTTGCTGCTACAAGGAGATTATTAAAGTGAGTTTTTATTAATATATTAATAGCTTAGTTTAAAATAAATAAATTTGCCAAGTTCCATTAAAATATAATCATAAACAAGCAAACTACAACAGTTTGTGTACTCTCCGTAATAATAACATGGGAATTTTAAATTTACAATGTTTTAAATTTTCTCCGTAACCAATTACACCTTATAATACCCCCGCCGCAGCAAACCTGCAGAATTAGCGAATTTACATTTGCCTGATTGGATTTACTCTAAAATATCTCCTTAAAAATATCACATTTATTCCCCATTTAAAAAACATTTTGTTTAACGAGTACTTAGGTTTGCTGCAACAGGGAGGGTAAAAACGTATTTTTTCATGAAATGTAATAGTTTAGTATGAAATGAATAAATTTTACAAATTTGATCAAAATATGTTCATAAACAAGCAAAATACATCAGTTTACTTATTCTCCATAAGAATAACATGGGAATTTTAAATTTAAAATGTTTTTGAATTTTCTCTGTTACCGTTAGGCACATAATGACACTTCAATATACTAAATTATTTGTTTTTTTTAGCTCCACAATATGGTTTGGAAAGAAATTGCTAAATCTTATGTTTTTTGGGTCCAAAATGGGAAAAACCAAATTTCACCCCATAAAACCCCGTTCCCATAGTTCGATCATGCTGGTTCGAATAAAAAATTAATTGGTATCTTCTACTTTTACATACATACCAACTTTCATAAAAGTTCAGTCAAAATTATCAAAAGATAAAATAATGAAATGTATAATTAAATTTACAAGTTCAACAAGCCATAACATTAATCAATTTATTTTATTTTATTTGTATTGGCCTTGTTGAACTTGTAAATTTAATTATACATTTCATTATTAATTGCCAATATCGCCAATATAAGTTATAAAGGACAAAATGTTAATGAAAAAAATATAAAATGATGGATATCTATTAACGAAGCGATTTTGTAAAAATATGTTATTCCTTATGTTCTTTTTATTTTGATCCAATGAATCAATTCGTAAACTTTGTCCCTACCTTTTTTGAACACACTGTATATGTGTGTGTCCGTTAGCAAAAATTATCCGATCTTAATGAAACTTTGCAAAAACGTGTAAACCAACGATTCTTCGAACAAGTTCGCGAACCAGCGTGGTTGGACCATGGCAACGGGGTTTTTGGGGTGATTTAAGGGGTAAAAATTGGGTTTCCTTATGTTCGAACCTCATGTTTGACCCTCAAAACATGAAATTCCCTGATTTTTCTCCAAACTATTATGAAAATCTTAATCAAACAAATAATTTAGTGAATTGAAGTGTTTTTATGAGGTTATTGGTTACGGAGTAAATTCAACATATTGTAGTTAAAACTCCTATGTTCTTATTACGGAGAGTTCATAAACTGTTGTAGTTTGCTTGTTTATGATTACATTTTTTGGAACATGGCAAATTTATTTATTTTAAACTAAGCTATTAATATATTAATAAAAACTCACTTTATTAATCTCCTTGTAGCAGCAAACCTAGGTACTCATAAACCTAATGTTATTGAAATTGATTCAATTGAAAATCAAATCAGGGAAATTGAAACTCACTTAATCTGCAGGCTGGCTGTGGTGGGGGTATTTTGCCTATTCCATTAAATGCAGAGACGGTAATTCAACCTTTGTTTGCAAGGAAAGTGAATAGGTTGCTGCAGATCTCTGGAGGGAGTTGAGAACACAAAACACTGAATGATTTTTTTTTTTATTTTAGGTTTTAACGGCCACTATTTTGACTTGATGAAACTTGACCATTTTCAACCCAGGCCGAGATAATGTATTCAAGCACTTATGTGCCAAATTTCATGAAAATCGGTTCAGGCATTCGGTCGTTATAGCCAATTCATGGGGACCCAGCATCCTCTTACGGCCACCATATTGATGACGTCATTACGGACGACCGAGGTCCTTAAAAATTGGGGTCTGGGCGGTTTTAGGTTCAGAAACTTGTATACTATAACCACCTAAAATTGCAGCCTCTCTGCCAGAACTGAAATATTCTGCCACTATATGCAGCTATACGACCCCACTAGTGTTGTTTGAAATACAATTTAAAAATGAACAGCTGTTTCATTAAAAAGCATTATTCACATCGCCAAAATGTAAACAACTCTGTAGAGGGATCTTTAAAGGCTTCTGGGTCAGAGTCCTAAGGGATTTTGCTTAGTTTTTCTTTTGATAACTCATCTACAGACCAAGACCTTTCTTTGGACACCTCTACCAAGTTTCTACACCCAGCCGTTCTCTCAAATTAGTGGGAACAAATTTTCCAATTAACAATTTAGATTCCCCCATGTTAATCTTATTGGAGAAACTCCAACTTTGATGGCCTGTGGGGCAAAGCCGGAGTATTTTTATTACAAGAATTGGTAAAAGGAGGTGTCCACACAAAAAATACTTCATTTTGACACGTCGTTTGTAAAAATCCGTCCATTATCAACGGAGGAGTAGTATTTCGTAGAAATCGCCTTCACGTATTATATATAAGGATTCTATAGAACTATCAGGTTAGTTTATTATTCTGTGATTTTGCCATTTATTATAGGAAATAAGTAAGATTCTATAACCACTGATACAAGTTGAGGCTCTGGCCCTCGAGTCTTCAAAGGAAAGGTTATGCAAATTATTTCTCTCTTTGACTTTTTGAGGAAAGAATAGGAAGATAACAATGTTTACATTTGTTTTAATAATTCATCTTGGCAGCTTTTTGTTTACAATAAATGTTTAACCGGTTAAACTTTTTTTGGATTAGAGGAAATATTGACATAACTTGTTTAGATGAACGTCACCTTTGAGCCAATAATGTTATTTGTACTGGGTATGGATTTAAGAGTATTTTTTATTTTATAGGCCTACACAGCCTTTTCAATAGATAAGTTATTAATTTTTTTTACTAGGCCTACAGAAATTCACTTAAGATATGCCTAACTTATTGTTTAGGGCTCTGGAGAGGAAGTTTCAGTCTTTGTATTTGATATCAAGAGTAGCAATGAAATCCAGCTGGAGTTAGCAAGATCTGCTGTAAAAAGACTGAAAACTCTGAGACATCCTAGTGTTCTTACATATCTTGATAGCATAGAGGTAAGTAAGTGCCTTTTAGCGAATTTCCCTATAGAGAAGCAAATTTGTATAGGGTGAGTGCACCAGTGAATGACCACCCCCTAGTGAATGACCGATTTGTATAAAAAACATCATATCAGGCTTTCTGTTTTTCCTAGTCTATCACAAACAGTTTTACAAGTAATTTTGAGGTCTTATTAATGTACACTCTTTGATTTATTAAAAAAGAAAGTGTCAATCATCATTTTGTAACATAAACAAAATTAGATGTTTCAAAGCAGTTCATTATTAAGCTTCCCACTATGGCGTCTCGCCCAAACATGGTTGGTTGTAATTTGTCATGGTTCCTTAATTATTGATTGGAACTGTAAGATATTACATGTAATTCACAGTTAACATGTTAAGGTATAATTCTGTACTCATTTAAAGATCAAAATCCTAACCAATCGTATATTTAAACAGCCAGTCAATTACTGGTTCACAAATTAGGGTAGGCTATAACCAGTGAATGACCATTTCGTTCATTAACTGGATTTTAGTCAATTTTCTTTATTGATATTGATGACAATGTTTTCTGATGGAGTAAACCATTGCTAGGAAACACAAAATCTCATAAGAAATTATGTGGATACACTACAACCAAAGTTTGAATGCGAGTTAAATCTTACAGTCAATTCCTAGATAAAAAGTGATCCTTCACTAGAACCAATATTTTAACGACCCTGATATCGTTATTTTTCACTACAGGGTTTACAGCTTCGATGCAAAAATCTAGAACGAGGGTCATTCGGTGAAAAGGAGGAGGTTTAATGCAATTTTAAAATTGTTATATAATATGCGGTCATTCACTGGTGCGGTGATTTATGTGCAAAAAATTTTATTTTTCGATACTTTTTTTAACATAATGTATTAAGTTATATCATCGGGAAGTACAGGGAAATATGGGCAATACATTTTAACGATTTCGTACAATGTAGCTTAGTAGTATATTTTCCCATGTCGTTTACAAGTAGAAAGTCAACCTTTAACGGTCATTCACTGGTGCACTCACCCTATATGTATATTTTATATATATGTATATTTTATATATATATATATATTTATATAGGATATATACATATACATAAGTGAAATAATAAAAACCAGAGGACCCTGAAATTCATTTTTTTAAACTGACACGTATTTTGGCACTAAGGCTATGATCACAGTATGAGTTATAAAAGTATGTAAACAAATAAAATAAATAAATAGGTAGCCTAGTTAATAACATATGTTTTGAATTAATAGTAACCATTTAATCAAAATCATATCTACTGGTGTACCTGTTGCTCGAATTCGAGCAATTGTGAAGCATTACAGGCGACTCACAAAGATTATGGAAATACTCACGATCTACACAACAGTTAGAATAATCAAAATCTTATCTTTTCTCAAAAAGCTGATCTTGTTTTTTAGTATTTCTACAAATGTTTCCCTCTCATAGTCGCATTAGGTTGTCTAAAATAACGATTATAAATGAAAAAAAAAATTATTTCTTTTCTTCTACTTGGTTGTGTTCTATGACATTTTTGTTTCCATTGTTTGCAAATTTCAATGATTGCTCAAGAAATGTAGCATATTGTTAATTGAGTTTTATTTTTAGCCTATATCAAATTGTCCAGTATTTCTAGCTTTTTTCCATTGTAATAATTTCACCAACCCAAGTTTCGTCTACAGATGCAATACACCAAAGAATATCACTTACGTACAATCTCCAAGAAGTGGTAAAAAAAAGCAGAAACCAAGCCATACAATAGATATAAGTTAACTCCATAAGAAATAATTTGAAGAGTTACTGTGATATTATGATTTTCCACTGATTTGGTAATAGAACATTATATTGCAAAACAAGACACGATGCAGAATAAAATCGATTTTAAAATCAGAAAAACCCATTGCAAATACTGTACTTCATTTTGAAAAATTCAATAAATCACAATTTAAATATTAACAGCTGTTTCATTAAAAAGTAGTGTAGAATTATGCATATGGTAAACAAATTTGAAGAGGCAACTTTAAAGGCTTCTGGGGCAGAGCCCCAAGGGAATTTACCTTGTTCCTCTTTTGATGGCTCATCTATAGACGAAGACCTTTCTTTAGAGACCCCTACCAAGTTTCTACGCCCAGCAGTTCTCTCAAATTGGCTGGGACAAAAACCCAGTTTTTCCTCCATAAGAACAACATGGGATGGGAATTCAAAGGCCACTGGGGCAGAGCCCCATGGGAATTTACCACGTTTCTCTTTTGATGGCTCATCTACAGACCAAGACCTTTCTTTAGACACCTCTACCGAGTTTCTACGCCCAGCCGTTCTCTCAATTTAGCTATGACAAAGAAAAACAGTTTCAAATTAATATATACACAGGCGATCCAGAAAGTAAAGAACGTTTCATTATGACGCCGCTAGGCACGCGCCGATCTCGTACATTTTGGTGCATGCACACTCGGCAACTCAGTCGGCGTCCAGCCGTGACAACGGGAGCATTTTCACGCTGCCCATTTTTTTACAATATCAACTTAAGATGAACGCTGCAATAAAAAATCCCGCCAGTTAAGGGGTGCGGTCAGTGATACGGTTTTTGTTGGAAAAACTTAAAACCGAAACTTCTCCTCAAGTTTCACGGACTTTGTGGTTTGAAATTGTCACGCAACAAAACGAAAGACCCGTTATCGGGAATCGGCGGTTTTTGCGAACCTTTTCATCAACATTAGCGACAAGTTCCATCAGTCACAATGCTCGGGCGTCCGCCCTTCGCTTCGTCATGACTCATGAGCGTCAGATCGGCCATTTTTAATCTGAATGCACCATTTTCTCAGAACTTTCAATCATTAGGTTTTTTTCCTTAAACTTCATACCCTTGGCGATAAATGTCTATCGATTTTAAGTTTAATGCCAACACAAACCGTATCACTGACCGCACCTCTTAACTGGCGGTATTTTTAATCGCAGCACACTTTTTAAGTTGAAATTGTGAAAAAAGGGGCAGCGTGAAAATTCTCCCGTTGTCACGGCTGGACGCCGACTGAGTTGCCGAGTACCAAAATGTACGAGATCGGCACACGCCTAGCGGCGTCACAACGAAACGTTCTTTACTTTCTGGATAACCCACGTAGAATACTATTACATCATGACAGGGTTTTTTTATTTCACGATTCTGAATCAACCACTTGACGGATTTTCATGATTTTTGTGTTGAAAGAAAGATAATTTTGAAAACTAGGGAATGTCGAAGCCATAATCTTAGTTTAAAGTTTCAGTTTTATAGAAAATTAAAATTTTAAAAGGTCTAGCAGCCGACGCTAACATTCTCTACACGAGCTTTTGGTAAAAAACCATTTGCTTAACGTAACAGCTGTAAACATTAAGTGTGTGTGACACAAATTCAGCATTTGGATAATAATGACATGCATAGGGTTGACTTATTTATACTATGTGTAATGCTATACTCATTGATACGTTAATTTATTCCGTAAAAGGATGACAGACTATTTAAATATACTTGGTAAAATGCTAATTTTATATTTATTCTATATTTATATTTATTCTAATTTATATTTTAGACCAGTCTTAAAAATTTTAAGTTTGTTTTAGTGCAATATAATTTGTTTTAACTAATAGCTGGTTGAATATAAAAATATTCTGTAGAACCAGTGGCGGTTCCAAGGGGGGGGGGGGCTACAGGGGCTAAAGCCCCCCCCCTTGGACCCTAGAAAAATAAATTTAATCGTACATTTCATCCTTAAAACACGCAATGCCATAAACAGACATCAGTGTAGTTTTTGCACTTGTGTTTTGACACATCTTGCTATTGTGTTGGTGTCTGTGTAGGGTGCAAAATGGTACGTTTTTGTTCTCTAGAAATCTGAATATGATCAGAGAGAAAATTGTCCACCTTATTTATAATTTTTGCTTCTTTGAATGAATGAATGAATGAATAAAGTGCTTTATTTTAAAATAAACATTCCCCTCGTAAACATAATCAAACACTTAATAAACAATGGTCTACGACCGTCTGTTTGGTTGACACACCTGGAAAACACATTTATGAAAATGAAGTTGAAACAAAATACACTTAATAACATACACAATAATGTACATACAATTTTACATCCATTTTTAAACTAAACTTTAAAAAAACCTTTTTTCATAATATTGTTTACATAACTTGTATTATTTTACTTTTAAAATTATTAGGTTTTAAAAGGTTTACGCATAATGAAATCTATAAAAATTACTATGAATATTCAATAAGACAGGCTGACAATTTATTTGACATATTTATTGTTTTGCTATAATTTATAAATTAGAAAGAGAAAAAAAACAATTTTGAATTTGGAAAAAAAAAAAAAAAAAACTTCACTTGATTTATTCGTAATTAAATTCTCTAATTAACTCCCACCTCCTTCTCCACGCCTCTCTCATAAAGTTTGCTAATTTACGCCAATCCCTACCATTTATGTATTCTATGTGTTCGTCCCAATGCATGCTTCGTTTCCCAAACCAATACTCCCTGATATCACCTAAAATTGGGCAAATAGAAACAAAATGAAAAACTGTTTCAAATTTGCGCAAATTGCATAGACTACAAAAATGATTTTTATTTGTTATCCATGGTTTGTGATTCAAATCAACCAGCTCGGCTCGGGCCTTAATGACCCATGAGATAAGATTTATATTGATGCTATCAGTGAGAAAACTCCTGGGCCCTAGGTCAAGGTCAACGGCAAGCAGTTGTTGGTGATATTGCGATGTACGCGCTCTGCCAACCATATCAATTCTCCAGCTATCTCTTTCCGCCTCAATTATCTTCACTAATCCCTCAAAAACATCTGCTGACTCGAAATTAATATCCAAACCGTGTTTTCGCCCTAGACATTTCCACTCTTTGGCCCAAAAAATACCTTTTCCAATTACAGATTTAGCAATAATTTTAGGTAAGCGTGATTCTGGCAAATTAAAAACCTTAAAAATGTATGTTGCG